ATCAATGCAGACACTCAGATCTATTCTGCTATTTTTGCAGAAAGATTTCATGTAACAATTGACTCTGTCATAGGTAAAGACCAAACAGGTTTTGTTAGAAATCGTCAACCAACTAGTAATATTAGAAAGATAGTACATTTAATTGAACAAACAAAGGAAAAACAGATCCCAATGTTAATGTTATCTCTGGACATGGAAATGGCCTCAACTAACTGTTTTAGGAAGCTTTTAATATTGGCGATAGCATGATTGACTCTGTCATGGCACTATATTCAAATCCATCGGCCAGAGTGGTAGGACAAGGAATCTGTTCTAAGTGGTTGAACATCAAGAATGGAACAAGACAAGGTTACCCCCTAGCTCACATATTATACATTATGTCCTTGGAACCCTTAGCCAATTATATTAGTAAAAATGCAGACTTTAAGGACATAAGTATAGGTTATACAGAATGTAAACTAACCATGTATGCGGACAACATACTACTTACTGTAGGCTCCTCAGAAACATCCTTAACCCACCTGTTTAAAAAAATAGAGATATGGATTTCATGTGACTCAGACTGGAATTATATATCTGGGGGTAACCTTAACAAATCATATAGATTATCTCTGGCGAGCCAGATACTTACCTTTAATTAAAGAGCATGAAAAAAATCTAGCAGACTGGAAAACAAATTTTGTTTTCGTGGATGGTCAGAATTAATATAATAAAAGCCTATGTATTTCCTAAATGACTATACTTGTTACGCATGATCCCTCTTAAAATTCTTGTCAGTTACTGTGACCACTTTCAAAAAATACCAGAAAACGTTACATGGATGGAAAAAAAGCAAGAATCTCTAGAAACATGTTATACAGCGGTGCCCAGCAAGAAGGGCTAGGTATCCCAAAGTTAGAAAATTATGCCAATGTGGTGATGATCCTCAAGCCCATATATTCCAAATGGATATTTGTAAACAGAAATATTGGTATCTCATAGAATCAGATATACTAAATAGAAAGAATCTAGAGAATATTTTATGGCTTCATCATAATGAGATCAAAAAAATAACTATGAATTCTAGTATAATTCTAGTATACTAACCAACATTATCAAAGCTTGGACTTTATTTAAGAAACCTACCTCAATGAAAGATAACGATTAGAGTTGAGCGAACCCGGACTGTAAAGTTCGGGTTCGTACCGAACATTAGGTTTTTTGGACCCGAACACGGACATATCACTGTATGTTCGGGTTGGAGTTCGGTGTTCGGTGATTTAATGGCGCGTTTTGAAAGGCTGCAGGGCAGCCAATCAACAAGCATTTGACTCATGTGCCCTTAGAAGCCATCACAGCCATGCCTACTAATGGCATGGCTGTGATTGGACAGTGCAGCATGTAACCCAGCCTCTATATATAAGCTGGAGTCGCATAGCGCCGCACGCACATGCGGTCTTATTAGTGTAGGGAGAGGATGCTGCCGCTGATAGGGACAGCTTAGGAAAGGATTCTGCAAACTAGTATATTAGTGGGGTGGGGTGCACTTCATATCTGAGAGTCAAATAGAAGCGTCAAATACTGCTGTCACATTGCAGTTTTAAAACTTAAAATTATTTGGGTGCTAAACTGCTAAATAGTATTTTAGTGGGGTGCACTACATATTTGAGAGTCAAATCAAAGCATCTAATAGTGTGCTTACAGCGCAGTTGTAAAAATTCTAATTTTCTCGGTGCTAATCTGCTAAATAGTACATTTTGGGGCCTGCTCTTCATATCTGGGAGTCAAATAAAAGCGTCAAATAGTGCGCTTACAGCGCAGTTGTAAACATTCTAATTGTTTTGCTGCTAATCTGCTAAATAGTAAATTTTGGGCGTGCTCTTCATATCCGAGAGTCAAATAGAAGCGTAAAATAGAGCGCTTACAGTGCAGTTGTAAACATTCTAATTGTTTTGCTGCTAATCTGCTAAATAGTACATTTTGTGGCCTGCTCTTCATGTCTGAAAGTCAAATAGAAGCGTCTAATACTGGGGTTAAATCGCAATTGTAAACATTCTAATTGTTTTGGTGCTAAACTGCTAAAGTCCATTTTGGGGCGTGCATTTCATATCTGAGAGTCAAATAGAAGCGTCATTTACTGCGATTATAGCGCAATTGTAAACATTCTAATTGTTGTAGTGCTACACTGCTAATTAGTACATTTTGGGGCGTGCACTTCATATCTGAGAGTCAAATAGAGGCGTCTAATAGTGCGCTTACTGCGCAGTTGTAAAAATTCTAATTGTTTTGCTGCTAATCTGCTCCTTTTTTTGGTGCTAAATAGTATATTTGGGGTGTTCACTTCCTATCTGAGAGTCAAATTTGATTTGAATTTACTACATCGGTCACTTGTAATATTGTTTCACACCTACAACACTTGTTACACAGATCTAAGTGATAAAAAACAGACTGATATTTTCTACACTAGAAACTACCAGATAACAAGCTGCTATATTTAAACCAGTGATCAATATCTAAGAGGTACTTAACCCCTTAAGGACACATGACATGTGTGACATGTCATGATTCCCTTTTATTCCAGAAGTTTGGTCCTTAAGGGGTTAAACAATATTGTAATTCAGGGTCAATACCCTCACAAGTCAAACTGAGAGGTCAGTTTATAGGGAAAACTGTTGCCTGGATACAATTCTAAAACAATTCCTATATGTCCTTTGCAGACTTTACATGCTGGAAAAACACAGGTGCCAACTGCTGTGGCTTTCTGCAGTGTGCATATCGGCAAGGAGGGCAGGGTTTCTGCAGTGTGCATACAGGCAAGGAGGGCAGGGTTGAGGAGTGGGTGGAAGATGATGTGGAGGATGACGAGGTCCTAGACCCCACATGGAATCAAGGTCATGCGAGTGACGTGTGCAGTTTAGAGGAAGAGGCGCTGGTCGCACAGAGGCACCAGCATAAGAGGGAGCAGGGTGCAAAAGCGGAGCGGCCGTCCCCTAGCGCTCGTCGGCATGTATTAGCTTGAGAATTACCAGTTATCCAAGTAATACATGTAAAAAACAGAAATAAGTGCTATCTATAAATAAGCTGCAATTCACCAACAAGGTGTTCCCCTAACCTTGTGAAAAACAAAACAGATATATACAATAAAGAGGTGAACAGCGCTGACCTTATATAGAAATATATACGTTACATACGTGGTAGATGGTACTTGACAATGGTATAGCTTAAACAAAGCAGAAAAATAATAATAGTGCAATATGTAATATCAGTGAAATAAAAACAAAAAGAGTATATAATCCAAACTCACACTTTAAAGAGCTATAACAGCTCAGTTTAGAAGGACCTGGACGGAATAATCCCCGTCTGTGGATTTCTTTATATAGGATCTTCCTGGTGGATTTTAGGAGATGGACTTGCACAATATATAAAACAGGAGAGAAAAGAAGTACTAATAGTGTGAATAGTACATGTAAGCATATAATAAATAAAGATAATCCTACTTACATCTACTAGAGCAATAGACCTGCTCTAGTGTAAACAGCTTCAGGTGGAACAATCCCCACCTAGGGATATGGAGGACCCAAAAATAGCAGCAGCAAAATAAAATAGGAAGTAAGACTTGTGGAGACTGGGTTTACATGCAGTATATATAATTTAATTAATAAAAAATGAAAGAGCAAATATACATAAAATAATATAATAAAATACCAGTCAAAATAAAAGTCTTTAAAATTCTTCCTCACTAGACGCGTTTCGCCGTGGCTTTTTCAAAAGTGGATGCTTGCTGCAGGGAGTCCTCGAAGTTATAAGTCTTCTTTGTTAGTGGAAACAGATTCCGGTGTGTAACTTTGTCATTTCCGGTTTCGTCGCGATGACGCGAACGGAAGTCCTCCGGGCGCCATTTTGGATAAGGGCAAAGTTCGTAAATGCCCAGAAAGGCAACACAGTAGTGTATAGAATAGAGATTTTATATAAATAAAGCTATTAGCATAGATAATAATGCAATTTGTACAAAATTGAATATTAAAATACAACATAAGAATCCAAAAGAGTGTTATATCATAAATATACATGTGATCACTTTCAAACAGATCTCTGGACTCAATATTAATATGATTTTATATATATAAAAACATATATAATAAATAATATAATAAATAAATATATTAAAGGTTATATGGTTTATATTGAAGAATATTGCGAATATTGCTCTTTAAAGTGTGAGTTTGGATTATATACTCTTTTTGTTTTTATTTCACTGATATTACATATTGCACTATTATTATTTTTCTGCTTTGTTTAAGCTATACCATTGTCAAGTACCATCTACCACGTATGTAACGTATATATTTCTATATAAGGTCAGCGCTGTTCACATCTTTATTGTATATATCCAAGTAATACATGTAGCGATCAAGGGATCCATAATAGACTTGAGCGAACCTGAACTGCAAAGTTCGGGTTCGTACCAGATATAATGATCCATTTGTAGATTCACAGTGAGGTGGGCAGTCCAGTGACGGGGACCCAGATACTGTCTGGGCGGCGGTCGGACGACCGGGACCCAGTATGCCTGAAGTTAGGAGTCACAGTGTGGAATGGATTAGCAGGGACTGGTGCAGGGTAACCGCACGCCCCCTGGTGTTGAGCACCAGCGTTTGTGCAGCCACATACCAGGACCCTGATGCAGCTTCAGTAAAATGAGTACTGGATACCAGAAGCCATCACCAGACTGATCCGCAACTTGGAACAGGATGTGACATTCACTGTAGCGGCTGTGCGCGAGTTTGGCGTTGTCACCCTGCTGTTGCTCGCCTGTCTGTGCTGCAGCGTAACTTCGGCCTTTCCGCTCACCGCCTCATGAGACTGTGTGAGCAGCAGCAGGTGATAGTGGAGTTTCAGCTGCAGCACGCACGGGTCAGTGGCTCTGCACCAGACTTCCCTCCAATTGATCAGAGTTAAAGGATTTCAAGTGGACACATTACAATTACAGGGCCTCTAAAGAGTCCTGCATTGTTATTTGTCATCACTACCTTCCCGCGTCGGGAGTGGGTAATTTGCGCGCCTGCTGCCTTCCTTGCATGTGGTAGCCTTTTCTCAGGGTCCCTGTATGGAATGGAACCCTGATTCCCCGTTACCCGTGGTCACCATGGTAGGCGCAGAAACTGGCATCGAAAGTTGATATGGATGACATCCGCATGCAAAGTCACCGCTACGGGGATGTGTGATTGGCACGAGGTTCTTTAGAGTCAACAAAGTGCCTGCGCAACTATAATGTCAACAGCTACTCTGCAGAACAGAGTTGTGTTTTTTTATATGTCCCAATATTTTGGGGGCTACCCCAATTAAAATATATATATATTTAAAAACAGTGTTGGCTACCTCATCCTCCTCCTCCACCGCCTCCTCAACCTATGGGTCACTTAGTATAAACTAGTTACACATTAGCATAGGCTTGTGAATGCCTTTTCTTCATGCATCAGGAGTTGAGCTTTTCTCCATGCATCAGGACTGCAGGAAATGCACCGCAGGCTGCAAATATTTCTTTTTTTGTATGTCCCAATATTTTGGGGGCTATCCCAATTAAAATAAAAAATAAAATATATATATATATATATATATATATATATAAACAGTGTTGGCTACCTCCTCCTCCTCCTCCACTGCTGCTTCCACCTATGGGTCACGTAGTATAAACTATGTACACAATAGCAGAGGCTTGTGAAGGCCCTTTCTCCATGCATCAGGAGTTGAGCTCAGTTTGAACAATGAAAGAGAATACCCTGCACGCCAACCCTCTCTCAAATGGATAATTCTGGTGATCCTCCTGACAGCCATGCTTTAGATTTTGATTTATGTTCTTCCAAACCTAAAATCAAAGATTCCATCTAGTGCTATTTTATGGCTCAGCTGTATTTTTTATTTTTATGTTATTTTAAGTGATTTCCCTATCCACATTTGTTTGCAGGGTACTTGTCCTACTCTTACCCCCATTTTACTTGCTTTTGCAGCTCTCTAGGAGTTTTTTAGAGGCATTTTTGTTCAAGGGGGTCAAGTTCGAGCCCGAACCCGGACTTTTTTTTATTAGTTCGGCCGAACCCGCCGGTTTTTGTTTAAAACCTTAAACAAAAAGTTAGCTCTCCCAAAAAATTAATACTACTCTTTGATACGAATCAATAATTACATTAGACTACACCTAATCAGGGATGATGGAAATGAACTTAACATAAAATTAAACAAAATCTTTAATAATAAATACCAGCGAGGTGTAATTAGTCTAATTCATAAGATATTAGTTTCCCTAAAGCAAGGATCAAACTCAAGTTCATGCCAAAAATTGTTACAGGGACCACTGGACACTAAAGTTTGGATAAATAGTTTAATGTTGGTGTGTTGATGGACCGCCTGGCACCCTGACTGGGTACCTCCGTCAATCGTTGCTTCCTAGTACTTACGAGCACCATAAGCACTGCACTGGAACACCATAACCACCTTAAACACCACAAACCGCCGCAGCTTGGTTGGGGTCTCCACCCACCCTGGACCCAAGACCCAAGATCCAGCTTCCAGTAGCTAGACTTCTCCTCGTCCAGAGAGAGTAGTAGGAACAGCTCTTATAAGAGCTAGTGATTATACTCAGGGGAGTATTGTGATTATAGCAATCCCCAGAGTGAATATAGTTCTCCAATCCCCCAAATATGAGCCAAGACTTCATGAAGGGGTAAACAAATCTCAGTTTAATGGGAGCCACACTTGGCCTTATATGACAATCCCCATGCAAGGGGTACGCTCACATGGACTTGATGGTAGACTGATTTACAGTGTCACAGACCAGTAACAATGAGGTTACAAGACACGACACTCCCACACAAGGCAAACAATCCCTCCTCTCTGCCTGGGAGATAATTGAGTGAGATACTGCATTAACTAAATTATCTCCAGGCAGAAAAACACATATTTCTATAAAACCTCAAAAGTAACCCAAAAACACATAAAATCCCCACAAATGTTACATCCCCTGATAGCCCCGATCTGTGGCCAGCATATCCAAAAATCGCCTAGATCAGTTCAGGATTTTCCTGGAAGTCATTTATTTGACCAAACGCAGGCATTGTCCAATGCTCAAAACAGTTCCAGAGAATCAGAGTCAATAGTCTTACCCTGGAGCTTGTTCCCCTCATCCAGACGAATGGTTTCACCGAACAGTGCCCTTCTAAGTTGTATAGAAACTAACGCAGGCAATGATGGAAGTCCAGCGGTGTTCGGGAGTTTCTGTGTCCAATTTTAGTTCCATAAGATTCATGCCCAAACACCGCTGCCTGCGTTTTTATTTTGTGGTTGTCCATAGGAATTGCGGCCACCCAGATGAAAAATTAGAAGACTGCGGTGAGAAATGTTCCAAGTTGTTAATAGGTGTTAACAAACTCCAGGGTGGTCTCTGGCTCATGTGGTTGTTTGGTAAACAAATCATATAGTCCCAACTGCACGTACAGAGTCTGTTTGAAGTATTTTAGCCAGGTCTATTGCAGGGGCCATAGTCACTGGATAGGAGGCTGGCACACAGGCTCCTCCAAAAGCCAGTGGCAGGGTCACTTTCACCACACGTTGGAAGCAGAAACTGTAGATCTCCTTCGTCACCTTTGAAAGCATCCGAAAGCGGGCCCCTCACAGGCGGTTGATATACTATACCGCCGAGATATTGTCCATCCTGAGAAGAACGCAACAATCGGAAAGGTGACTCGCTAAACTCTGGATTGCAAATGAGCCCGCAATCAGTTGCAGGCAGTTTAGGTAGTATTCCACCTCCATCTCCGACCATGGGCCTCCCGTGGAGCTGGTCGCACAAGTGGCTCCCCACCCCCATAGACTTGCATCTGACTCCAAGACAAAATCAGGGTGTATAGCAGGTGTCAGCACTTGGAATAGGTCCATCAAATAATTGGCTAGGTCAGAGTTTTTGCCTCTGAAGCGGAGATTGTTTCTCCTGGAACTGTCCTCCAAATCGGCAATCTTACATCTATGTGTTTCCAACATGTCGTCCATCTCTTGAAGTTTGTCTGGCAGACCATTTGTGCCATAGAAAAGTTGTCAATTTTCTGCTCGACTTGTGATGTTCTGGGCCCGATATCCTGCATCTCCCTGCAGTCAGGGTCTTAATCTGGGTATTGATGGTAGCTTGCATCGTGTCTGTCAGTTCAGACATCATAGTTCTCATCCCAGCAGCAGTTAGGGGCCCCTCTTCTGAGGTAGAGCTTGGGGAAGCCAGAAGGGGGGGAGAGGGTATCCCTTGAGTGGTAATCGCCACCATCTTGGATCAGACTGCAGCCCTCGCGCTAGAAAGAAGGAGGCTTTGTCCATTTTAGAAAGCTTATTCTTACTTCTCTGAGACATGAGGAAGGTGAGTGTGTGCTTTTGCTTTGTTTGAATGCTCAGAACTCCGATTCTTTTGGCTCCTCAAGAAATGAACCGAGATGCCCCTTTTAATCAATTGAACAACTCTGATATCAGTGAAATAGGATATGCATTACTTATGGTTATTTTTTTCAATCCGTGGAAGTCAATATAGGGTCTAAGATTCCCATTCTTTCTTTGAAACAAAAAAAAAAACTTGCACTAGCTGGAGAAGTTACGAACCCTTTTTCTTAAATTCTCCTTAATATACTCCTCCTGTACCATATTTTCTTTTGCAGATAAGGGGTAAACAGAACCCTTGGGTGGCATGAGCCCAGATAGTAAATTGATAGCACAATCTTGGGGTGATGTGGGGGTAGTTTATTGGCTTCTCTCTTTTCAAACACAGCCTTTAGCTCTTTATAAGGATCTGGTATCTCAGTGGATGAAGGTTCCATTGCAGGAACATTAATGAGATAAACTAGTGTGACTTTTGAAACTCATCCCTCCATACATGAATCAATCCAGCTTTTTATCTCCTTATTCTCCTGATCTATTATAGGGTTGTGTTGAGCGAGACAAGGAAATCCTAAAATGATAGGGAAAGAGGGTGACGGTATCCATTGCAGGAATATCATTTCTTGATGCAAAACTCCTACTAACATGGATGGGTATAGATTCTTTAAGATCACCAAGTGGTCTACCATCTATGGCCTCTACAGCCAAAGATGTGGATCTTACTCTTAAAGGAAGATAATAGATTTTTACAAAAGATGCAGTCACAAAATTCTCTGTAGCCCCAGAATCAAAGTATCCGAGAGAACATTCATAAACACATCTATGAATGCCTGGTTATTTCACTGAATCTCCGCAACATATGGCAGAATTCTAAAGCGTACTCCACAAGGGAGTGAAACCCTTGTTTTAACTGCATTCGCTTTTCTCCCTGGGAGATTAACGGTTCTTCTGAATGCAGATACAAACTCAGCATAGTTATACACCAAGGGGTTGTTATTTTTTCCGTAAAGGGTTAGCCCAAATCAATAACCTATCATCAAGTAGGCTGATTATAAAACCCACTTTATCCCTGACAGTTGGATAGGCTCTGGGTTGCCATTCAAACTGCATGCTGCCACAGCATAAAGGTGACATCATATTTGTTGGCGTACCAACCGTAGCTACCTCTATGTTAGAACTAGTGGCTTCTGGGCACCTCAGTATGCAGATGTGCTGTACGAGCAAGCAAAGCCTGCAAAACAAGGGCAAATTGACTTATATGGCGGTCCGTTTTTTCAAACTGCATGTCAGAACCAGACGCTTGTGGGTTAACACCTGCAGGATTCATGGCCCTATTGTAATATCACGGTTGGTAAAACCCCAACATGCAGTATGTAATTCCACAGAAAACCTAAGAATGTATTACCAGACCTTAGAATGGTCGGACTTAATGTAGGTTAGAAAAGAGTAGTCTGAGAATTGCCAAAAACAACATGATGTCAGAAATCAGAAGAGTGATACAGGAATACCGGGTCCGGATACCAGAAAGGAGACATGTTAATATACAAGCTGAGTTAGGAAACCAGAGAATAGAAGAGTAAAAAAACAAGCCGATTCAAATATACCAAGAAATCCCTAAGAATGTATAAGTAGCACTAGAGGGAACTCTAAGAACTAGAATAGGGCAAAGAACAAAGCAAAAGGTGTCCTTTTTATATAGGATCATCTGTTGCTTTAAGGCCACGCCCCCAAAACGTTCTGGGCAGGAAAAAAGGCACCGACCCGCATCATCGATGTGATGACGTTGATGCGCATGCATCACATCATAAGAAGGGGCGTGATTTCAGCTTCCGGCGTGGGACATGCCTATCTGCCTGTGAAATGAGTCAACGTCGGGTGCTGCACCACGCAAATGTTGG